GAGCCGATGCATATGCGTTCGGCTCGACTGAGCCGCTCGGCCATGATCGGGAGCTGTACGGGCTATTGTGAATAGGACCAGGTTCAGTAGAACTGAAGGGGTCCTGGGGCCGAAGGATCGGCCGAAGCTACGGCCAGATCCTTCGGCAGCTTCGTGAATAGACCCCCAAGTTTCATCTGTGTGTTTACGTCCATGCGGTTGGCCCAGAGATGTATGGAGATGATTGCAGGCAGAACTTGGTGGGCTGTTTTTGATTTCTGGATGTAATCATATTGTAGGAAAGGCCAGCATTCACTTCACCAGGACCAGTGATGGCCTTACATCCAGACGTCCTTGCTCGGCTTTCCTTGAGAAGAGATGGGTTGAATATCCCATCGCTGTATATAAACAGCGGGAAGTATTTTAAAACAAAGTGGTGTGTGAAACATCTTGAGAATCCCATGGGGACCTCTCCTCGCGGACTCGGTTCTGGCATTCATTACATCAGCAATTCCCTGGAGTCAGGAAAAGAGAAACATGTTTTGTTAGGCCGGGAATGGAAGCAAGTTTGTTACTTGGCATCTTCGGCTTCAATTTTGAGCAGTCGACGTCCTCCCTGCTTGTGGATTTGTTGTTTTGTTGCTGTGGCTTTTAATCACCTGGGCTTAATGTTGATTCTTCTCATTTGTCATCAGCTCCGCAACACTTGTAAACATTGACATGCATTAGGGCCTCCCTCTGCGAGTTGTCTTTAATCCCTAATGTGATGTTCTGCTTTTCAGCATGTTTCCAGAAGCAATGGCAGCTCAATTAGGAAAGGCATGTCGCCGGTTTGTTTTGCGTATTTTGCACTCTTTCATCTGGCGCTAATACCGGGATTCCACACTTTGTCCTTTTCCTGTCTGTATAATGCTTTCTGTCAGTTGGGATTCTGCCCTTTGTGTTTGGATGAGTCAAAGCTTTGTAAAAGTAGACATCATTATCATCTTTATTATGCTGTACTTGGCCTGCGTAGGGAGCATAGCTGTAGAACGAACCCAGCAGGCCCCACCCACTACCAGCTGCCTCCAGGAAACCACAAGAAGGGGCAGAGACCAGACCAGCCACCCTGCACAAGGAGAGAGAGCAGCTGTCACCAGTCTTTAATACAGGGAGCCCCTCGCACTACAGGCTGCCTGCAAAAAAGTACAGAAAGGGGCGGAGAAGAGACCAGTCGACCCGCAGAAGTCAAGAAAGCAGCAGTGACCGGTCTTTATTACAGGAAGCTCCTCCCACTACAAGGTACCTACAGAAAAGGGGGAGACAAGTCGCCCTGCAGAAGTCAAGAAAGCAGCAGTGACCGGTCTTTATTACAGGAAGCTCCTCCCACTACAAGGTACCTACAGAAAAGGGGGAGACAAGTCGCCCTGCAGAAGTCAAGAAAGCAGCAGTGACCGGTCTTTATTACAGGAAGCTCCTCCCACTACAAGGTACCTACAGAAAAGGGGGAGACAAGTCGCCCTGCAGAAGTCAAGAAAGCAGCAGTGACCGGTCATTATTTCAGGAAGCTCCTCCCACTACAAGCTACCTGCAGAAAAGTACACAAAGGGGCGGAGACGAGACCAGTCACCCGGCAGAAGTCGAGAGAGCAGAGTTGACTGGTCTGTATTACGGAAAACCCTTATACAGGAAAAAATTAAGGAGTTGTTGCTTGCTGGATTACTGCACAGACCTGAAAGAAATATTCAACAAGATAACCAAAGACCATGCAGGCTGCCATTTGTGATGTCTTCTCGGGAAAGTACTTGTTTGCTGGATGTCTTGGCAATCCAGAGGTTCCATTGCTTTCCTAATCACTACATTTTGAATTTACTTACCTCCATGCTAGTTCCTGATTAGTTCCCCAAAGTTTTGAAGCCATGGGGCAGCCAGTCAATCAGTATTTTCAGAATAAGGTGAGCAGTATCAGCCTCTGTATTTCAGATAATTTGGCATTGTGGTTCCAGGTCACATGATCTAAACCTCTCAGTATGTCACATGATTCAAAGCTGTGTTGGATCTTCTCATTAGGTCAGGCAGTTAAAGATTAAGCAGAACCTGGGGAAATAAAAAAAAAAATGAAGTCCCTAACTTCTTGTAAAAAAAACGAATTAGAAAGGCATTGCTGAACCCACCCAGTGATCTAGCGCTGCTTTTGGCCTTGCGCCATTGAATGTCTTAGGATGTCAACTGCCCACCACCTGCCCTGGACTCACAGGAGAATGCTGTAGAATTCAGGATCCACCCATCACCGGTGGATGAAGAAGACCTGTGACTTCCCAGGCAGCCTGGAAAACAGGAAAGTACTCTCCTGGGGAGGAGAGGGGGCAGATATGCAGGGAGTTCCTGAGTCTGGAGTTGGTCTTTAAAGAGGAACTTCAATCCCCCCTCGTCCTTTGTTGTTTTTTTAACCCCTCTTACTTATTAGACCTGTTGTCCTCAATTCACATACTCACCTTCCCAGGGAATCCAGCATTGTCCTGCTGTGATTTACCACTCCACTGATGCAGCCCATGTCCCAGGCCGCCATCTTGGTCCTCCTCCATCATCGGGAACAGGCTACGTCGTCCTGGTCCAGGCAGCCAGGCCCCTGATGACGCACGTCAAGCCTGTCCACCGCCCACTGTATGCCCCCTGCTTCTGCAGCTTTGTGGGATATATCACAGGGATATCCCAGAAAACGGGGAAAAAAAAAAAGATAAACAACATTTTTTTATTTTTTAAAATAGCTTTTTTACTTTATGGGGGGTAAGGGTTGGTGGTTTTTCAGTAAAGCGATTTAGTGGCCTGAGGGTCTGCTTTAAAGTTTATGACAAGTCAGCCCATCCTCCCTAATATCCCTCTAATTTCTCCAAGCTGACCTAAATTTTAAGCTTAGGTCTGCTTTAAAATAGGTTTGTTTTCATGGCTTGTGGTATTCCAGAAATGATAATAGGGTAACATGATGTAGCAATTTTACATACAAGCAGC